TAGTATTGGAACTACGGTTTTTCTCTCTGATACTGAAGCAAAGAAAAGTTGCGACGTCGCACGCGTCGTTCGCGTTGCCGCACTTCGTTGCAAGTGTTGTTCGTTTTGTGCTCATATCTTCTAAACAAATATCGGCGACACAACTCTACAGAGTCATTTGAAAAGTAGAAGCTTAGACCTTTGGATTGATAACCTTGGACAAAAAGAAAACCTCCTGTAAACACTAAAAAGATTCTTGAAAGGCGCGTGCTGCACCATGTGCAGCACCGGTCCGAAACGTGTTAACGAACCCACCCACCCTTCCTTAAAGGTCCCACCTGTACAACCCCCCTCCCCTCCCGAAGCGGGCGTTTGGTACCCAGCCGAGGTGCGAAGACTCTGCAGCTGCCATTACTGGTATACATTGCCACGCCCCTGGGTATGCTTTAGCAGCGGGCACCTAACAATATACCGAAACCTAGTTGCTAAACAGCTCATCTGGCTCGTCAAATCACCTGGCGCTTGCGATCCACGGGAAAGAGATAATTAGAGGAAATTTATGAATTGCGCGAAAGAAAGCCCAAGTTTTGTAAACGTCATTTTTCTAATCCCACTTTTTTTTATCAATTCTAGAATCAAAGAAGTTCGGTGCTAAAAGTTGAAAACGCGCTAAAGTTTTTATAAGCACATTCATAGTTTCGCAAAAAGATTTGATACTCTGATTTAGAAAATGTCACCGGGATTACCAAAAAGTAAGTTTTGTAGATAAACCAAAGCTTCCCCATAAACCAAAATTTCATGGTTTTGATGAAGCAAAGCGCATTTTCAGAATCGCTTTTTGTTGATAAGTCGCACGAAATGCTTATCTCAAAAATTGCTTTAAATTTATTTTTGACAAGACGTGGAACCTGTTGAAAGAAGAATTTCTACGAGAACTCGTTATCAGGAATCGAAACCTTATAGAGGACTATATAACCCATTGATTCATTGGAAGAGCACTGGCACTGTTTCAGTATGAAAACATTGCACCAAAGAGCTGCCAATTTCGGATGACTGTGTGCCATTATACAGGGTGTCCCAAAGTATGTATACACTGTTTGATCTTTAATATCTCTGCTTTTAAGGCCCGTATGCACGTACATCCCGCGGGGAGGGAAGGGATCTGAGAGGGGAAGCATCATATTTCGCTACTCTGTATACCTTTCTTCTTCCTTCTTTATCTGTGATATGAAGGTTTTCATACCCTGATACCTACGCATAATAGATGCCAGGTTACTGCCATACAAGATTAGATTTTCACAACTTTGTGTGATCTCCTGGGGATCCCCAATGGATCACCTCTCATTTTCAAAGTCAATTATCTTTCTGAAAACTCCATGAAAATGCTGTAAAGTTGTACCGAGGATATACTACGGCACTGCCAAGCATGTTTTTGACAGAAGAAATGGAATCTGAAAAAATTATCAATTTTTCGATAATCCCTGGCTCGCGAGCAGCGGTTCATCGAAAACTTCGATATCGTGAGATTTCCCTTCTACTATAGACATGTTTAGCAGTACCATATTATACCCTCAGCACAAATTTGAACACTTTCATTGCATTTGTAGGAAGATTAATGACTTTGAAAATGAGAGGTGATCCCCTGGGGATCCCCAGGGGATCACACAAAGTTGTTAAAATCTAATCTTATATGGCAATAACCTGGCATCCATTATGCGCAGGTATTAGGGTATGAGAACCTTCATATCACAGATAAAGAAGGAAGACGAAAGATATACAGAGTAGCGAAATATGACGCTTCCCCTCTCAGATCCCCTCCCCGCGGAGATGTACGTGCATACGGGCCTAAGAAGTCTTTTGTCTACCATAGCTGACAGGTACCATTTTGTAGTGCTGGCTTCAACTTAGATTTGCAGTATGGAGCGAGTCAGCGATCTCCGCTCACTGCTGTGGGATTACGGTAGGAACTTCGTGGAGAGTTTTGAGTCGTTAAGAGCCATATTTTACCCCTAAAAAAGATCCGGAGAGGCTGAAAGCTGCTATACTGTGTTAACAAGGATTGCTAATCTCAAATATCAAACTCGCACTTCACTTAAATGCTTCCTTTATAAATTCTGTCAGATATACCGTGAAAACAGCTCTCCGATCTTCCGTAAAAAATCAGGTACACATTTGAAAAGCTTTGAAAACTCATAAATTGTCGTTTAGTAATATCAGCGTATGTGAAAACCTTGTTACACGATTTTCCAGATTTTTTTAGAAAAAAATTCTTACGAAAGGCCCATCTCGCAGTGGAGCCATTTGCTGCGAGTTTCTACCGTAATATTACAGTAAAGAAGAGCTATAGGTGATTCGCTCCATACAGTAAATTAAATCTAGTTGAATCCAGCTCTACAGAATGGTACCTGAAGGGTAGGCGAAAGACCTCTTTGGAAGAGAGATATCATAGTCCAAACATTGTATACATACAGTGACCGCCAAAAAGTTGCGGACAAGTTGCCCTCCTTTTTTCAGCGTTCATTTTCGGATGGAAAACCAGGATGAAAAAATGATTGGATTGCATGAGGTGATAGAGCTCTTCAAGAGCTACAACCCACACATTGCGTTTTCTGGAAAACATGTATTTGAGAAATTTTAAAAATCTTTTTCTAGACAAAGTCCGAAAATGGCCGTGTCACAATGTCGCGGACAATAATTCTTCGAACGCGAAAATTTTTTTAGGTCTTTTTTGGAGCAAAACAGAAGTTTTCCGAACAGGTAAGCGTACTATATCATAGAGCTCATCGAGGACAACAATCAGGTAGTGGTTACTTCCAAAAAAAAACGCAATTTTGAATTTTGTTTTGCTTTTTAAAAAAATAACTCCTATTTTTCTCTTTCAAAGCCAATTTCTTCACATGGAAATTTATTCAAGACATCCAAACAAAGCTGTTTGGATAAAGGTAGATGCTCTTTACCATTCTCCATGCATCGGACTTGTGCTGGTGAGTTTCTTGGCTGAAAATGACTCCTGACAATGCGTGCACATGATCCCACCTGCGCCTCACCACTGATTTGTGTTGCTTTGCAGGCTTGTTGCTCAGCCGTCAGGCATTCTACGAGCCTGTAATTAGGCTCATTCGAAAGGGCGTGACTTCCACGACACGAAGGTATGCAACTAATTTCAGTTTGAGCCATCCCAGAGATTTGGCGGATGGGGTGCAAGATGGCAGCCTTGGAGGTGATTGGAGTGAAGGCTCTTATGAACACCAAAACAGTCTTAGAGCTCCGAAATGGATCTATTACAAAAAAAATTGACAGTTTTGAACTTCCAGGATGAAATTGGTAGCGAAAGGAGCTCTCTTCAACTCTAGCTGAAAAGTGCTTAGCCTACAACTGAAGCTGCCCTCTTCCACCCCATCCGCCAAATCTCTGGGATGGCTGAAACTGAACTTAATTGCATACCTTCGTGTCGAGAAATTCACGCCCTTTTGAATGAGCCTAATTACAGGCTCATGGATTGCCTGACGGCTGAGCTACAAGCCTGCAAAGCGGTACAAGTCAGTGGTGAGGCGCAGATAGAGTCATGTGCGCGCATTGTCAGGAGTCATTTTCAGCCAAGAAACTCACCAGCACAAGCCCGATGCATGGAGAATGGTAAAGAGCATCTACCTTTATCCAAACAGCTTTGTTTGGATGTCTTGAATAAGTTTCCATGTGAAGAAATTGGCTTTGAAAGAGAAAAATAGGAGTTATTTTTTTTAAAAGCAAAACAAAATTCAAACTTGCGTTTTTTGGAAGTAACCACTACCTGATTGTTGTCCTCGATGAGCTCTATGATATAGTATGCTTACCTGTTCGCAAAACATCTGTTTTGCTCCAAAAAAAGACCTAAAAGAAAATTTTCGCGTTCGAAGAATTATTGTCCGCGACATTGTAACGCGGCCAGTTTCGGACTTTTTCTAGAAAAAGATTTTTAAAATTTCTCAAATACATGTTTTCCAGAAAACGCAATGTGTGGGTTGTAGCTCTTGAAGAGCTCTATCACCTCACGCAATCCAATCATTTTTTCACCCTCGTTTTCCGTCCGAAAATGAACGCTGAAAAAAGGAGGGGCAACTTGTCCGCAACTTTTTGGCGGTCACTGTACTTTTGGGACATACTGTATAATGAAGAAGGAAAAAGCAACAAATTCTACTGAGGATATTTGCTGTCAAAATCTTTCGCTTTTTGGTGAACTTGACTAGCTTTGATTGAATAAATTGATTTATCATATTTTGTTTGCTAAATAAGAAAAATATGCAACAATAGCAATATCAAAGCACCTCAAATAAGTGCTCTACAGAGAACTGACATGATAATTTGTTGGCCCAGCAATGACAGAAGTAATAGCCTTAATAGACTGCGTTATGATGTAGTTCACAGTTCCCCTTAGCAACAATAACACGGAAGGGTTATGTTAGTTAAGTTACGATCTTTGATTACGCACCTCTTTGAGGGGGGGGGGACGACAGTAAGTGTATAAATGACAGAAAGAGGCTGATATCCTTATTTATAATGCCAACTCAAACTTGTGCTCTAAAACGTATGGGCGCTCAGTCACATATTTTTTTGATTCTACTCCTAATCAGGTACATGTTAGAACTTGTCTGAATTCTACATTTTCATTTATTCAAATGACTCGTTATGCAGAATTTTCAGGAGATCACGATTCCGACATCTCTTTCGCTGTATCAACAAACGAACGACACGTGGGAACATCAGATTTTCTTCTTCGAACATCTCTGTGGATGTAGAAGTGTTCAATGGGGAAAAGGGGGTAAGTAAGTGAATGCGAATCACAATCTGTGAATATTCACGTTCCAGATTTTATCAAAAAGACAACCGACAAGAATGCCTCATCTATCGATGCCGTGGATGCAAAAATCAAGCAAATATTCAACTCAGTCCAGATGGGTTGACAATAATAAAATCCAGATGCTTTTTTATAACATTTCAGGTAACAGACGATAAGTTTCATGGCGATCCATGCCTCCTGCAGCATGGATGCTTACCAGCTGAACGCTGCCACAAAGATCCAAAATATCGCCACTATTCTGGAGCTGCAAGCGACTTTGGAAATGGACGCGAAAAGTGAGTCGTAGTCGAATACACTAAACTATGTGATGAAGTGTTTTAGCATGCGTCGAAAGGGGTAGGTGCTACAAGCTTTTGCTTTAAAAAATCATGCTAGCAGAAGAACCGCGGTTGCGAGGTTTGAATATTATAATTTACTCAACGTAGGCCGTAGAAGCGGCTCAGGCTGGTAGATACCCGAATACTAGCTGTACTAATAGTTTATCTGTTATGACATAAAATAGGAATCAAGCAATACATTAAGGCGATCAAATACAACAACATGGATCACTGAGTTACTGGTCGGGCAGGCATCAGCCTGTAACAGCGGAGGGGTAGCTCGGGCAGCTAGTCGGCGTCCTGGTCGCTAGCTCGACTCCTCGAGGCGTGGTACGGAATTCCGGCTTGTGCTCTCGGTGGCGGCTTATATAGCATACTGCGGAATGCGTATCATTCGTCGTATCTGTAACAGTTAATCTCATTCTCATAACATACTAATACCTTATATGTGTCTTATATCTTGTTCTCGTAAAATAGCCATCTCGCGTGCGTTCCTATGCATCTACGCTTCAATCTTACTTACAAGGGAAGGATACCAACATTAGTTGGCAATTGAAGATGAGATGTATATCATTAGATCCGCCTTTGAACGCTGATTCCAAAACTGCTTTCCTGTTTTGCGGAATAAGTTTCCGAAAGAAGTTATGAGCGTTTGAATGTCCAGATTTGCCAAGGATTGAGCGGCTTAAAATCAGCGAAGTGCTCTAAAACAACACCTATACGATTTCCACCGGCTGTGTTCCTTCCTTGCAAACAATATACTCGATACAAGAATAGTTTTTCACTTTCCAGTGTTTTTGTACAGCTAGACGCCAATTTTAGGCCACCTAAACCTTCACAAAATTGGACATTTGAACGCCCACAACTTCTTTCGGAAACGTATTCCGCAAAAAAGAAAAGCAGATTTGGAATCAGCGTTCAAAGGCGCGTCTACTGATATACATCTCATCTTCAATCGCCAACTAATGCTGATATCCTTCCCTTGTTAGAACTCAAGTATGGTTGCTGTTGCAAAGCAGCTGCGGCACAGAAAACGACGATGCCGATATGTCCCTGAAGACCTTCAAGCAACAGGTGGCGAGTAAATTCTTCGCTTACAAGAAGAAGACCTCCGCGTATATTTATTATCCCGAGGAACTGGTTTGAGTAAGCAGTTAACAAAGCGTTGATTATCCATAGAAAAAGAATACAGTTGGCTTGCTCAAATGGGTTCGTAGCACTCATTGGCGATGAGGTGTACAAGCTGAACCCTTTAAAGGCACCGTCCACCCAGATTCTCGAATTCCAGGTTTTTGTCGTTTCAGGGCCTTCTCTTGTCCCTGATTCCAAATATGATGTCGAAAATACGCGAAAACCCCGACGATTCCCATTTTGGAGAACCCACAGGCCGGCTTTCCAGAACGGTAATTGGATGAGTGTGCACAAATGGGCGGACATGGATGGGGAGAGGTGGGCATGGATGGGGATCCTCGTGCATCTTCGCTATTCCGAAGCGATTTTCTCGCTTCCGAAGCAGCATATTGCGCCGCGACTTGCGCATTGGCTGATAGGAGGCCCCACTGTTATATGCTGCCGAAAGCTCAAAACCCTCAACTTAGAGTGGACGGTGCCTTTGAGCATGTGTAATCGAATGGATGAAGATCAGCCTTACAATCTGCATGCTGTTATCACCGAAGGGCTTGAGGTACCTATTATATGAAATATTAGTTGCTGCTTTTTTGAGTTTACATTCAATTTTCTACATGCAATATCCTGCTTCCAAATTTTGGAAAATTACAAATCGCACTCAATAGAGTGCTGGCCATCAGCAATACTCGCATCATCCTAAACTAAAGGAGAGGAGATTATCCTAAAGGTGAGTTTGAACAAAGCAAGCCCTGCATAATGAGATATTCTCGCTTTAGGCCGCAATACGCGCAACAAGATAAACCTTTCCGAAGGCATCATCAAAAGAAGCGCATTCCAGCTTGCTCAAGCTTGGAATCGCAAACCGCAGATTTGGAACTCCGACGCTTTGTCAGGAGACCAAAAAAGATAAGTGTTGTCACAAAATGGAAAACTTTGAAAGGAGTAGTTTTCTTTACCCAAACACTTGATTGACAGAGTGCCTGTGCTCACTCCCCGCCAATCCAGGCCATTCGCCCAGGAGGCCTGCAGCAACTTCCTAAACTATCCGCGTAATTAGCTGGTGTCTACACGAATAGTTGGTGCAGATGTGAACATGAGGAGCTGAGGACCACCAATATCGCTGATGCGTTCCATAAGTAGGCAGTTAATCTTAGTATAAGCAAATAATGGAACCCTTCAGCAAGCTGCTCACCATTCTCTCAAGAAGAATAAATCCGCCGTTTGAGGAACTTCTAATTACATCCGTGACCAACACACTCTTGCTCTGGCAAAAATGCTTATGCCGGAGAGTTAACGTGTAATTTGAAAATCAACCAACACTTCGAAATTTTTATCTTATTCCAAAAAAACGATTACGAAATCCTTATGCAGCAGGATTCGCCTCAGGAGAGAGAAAATAAACAACGCTATAGCAGATATCTATCAGAGAAGCAATAGATAATACTGCCGTAAAATTCGCGTTATATCTCAGAAAAATTAGTTTGTAACATCAAATGTTAAAGTATTGTTGCAATATAGATATAGTTAAATAATACTCCAGATGTGCATATAGTAACGTATTGTTGGCATTATCGAACCTGTAGCAGAGTAGTATATTAAATACCTATTTGATACTACATCAGATAAATCTCAGATATGTCATTATACCGGTTATGTATTTAGTATATTGCTTGTTACAATCAGTACAACTAGGTAAATAGAGCAGAATTTTTGTCTTGCATAAAGAAATATGTTTGTAATAATTACAGACGTTCTACATATAATAGACAAATTGTGGATTATCTTGCTATCTTGTGTACATTGAATTAGTCATTTCCATAATTTATTGTAATAGATATTACTCATGTATATATTAGATGGGTCCAAAAGTTCGTGCCGTTATTTAGACCTACCCTCAAGCTTAATAAGGATAGACAAATACTCTAAGCACTGTTCTATGATTTCTGTTTTTCTCTGCTTAAAAGCCACCTAACTCCGAAAAAGTTGGACACGCTTTCAGTCCACATAATTTCTTCATAATTTTTCATACGTAGTCCTAACTCCCCATTGCCATCTACACACCGGTTTTGGTGTCATTTCATTTCACTTCGCTGTAAACAAACCCCTTGTTTGTTTGAGGGAGCATGCCGGCAGCGTGCCGGGGCACGCGGACCCCATATCGAAGGACGTGGTATGTTATTCCGCAAAAACGATATCCCCTTTGCTCTTTCTTCCAAAAACGATATCCAGCTTGCTCGGTAAGCCACCTATGCCGTGCCCTGGTCCTCCACCCATATTCGTGGAACCTTTTTTGTGACTGCTTTACTTGTCTCATTCTAAACGATGTATTGTGAGCAATCTTGAGAAAAATATTTTGTGCGATTGAGACAAGTCATTAGTAGCTCCGCAAATGATCTTTGCACCATGAAGATCGTAAAAAATCCTAATTTATTGGGATTTTAACAAATTGCCTTTTTCAACACGTAATCACAATGTCTAACATATCACCAAACGAGTATGACATATGCTCGAAATGTTGAAGGCACTATGCAACCAAGGTGAGGTTTGTGGGACTTTGACGCTGTATAGGGAGCCTCTAACTAACGCTGCAAACGGTATCCGATGCAACAAAAACGCTAGAAGCTACAAGGCAGACAGATTTCTTCAGTACGAACATAAATAAGTCCAAAATCGGGCTTCAGTGTATTTAAAGTTGTCATAAATCCTCCCTTCATTATGATTATTGGATATTCGACATTTCTATCTATCCTGAATCCCCCTTTCGATCTCATTATCATTGGACCACCCATGGCGGAGCCACCTGACATTTCTTTCTTCTAAGGCCGGGTCTATACTGATCTGGAAGTTTCGGAACAGTTCCAGCACAGTTTTTGCACTGTGCAAGAAATGTCCCGCAACTGTGCTACATGCGCTGCAGCAGCCCGCATGCAGTTATAAGCGGCGCGAAGTAGCAATTTCTTATTTTCTCCAACGGTTTTCATAGTCATTTTGTTCATTTTCGCGTCATTCTTGCACCTCGCTTGCTCTCGTAATAAAGAAAGTTCCACGTTTGGGGGTGCAAGAATGAGCGCTATTTCGTTATGTACATTAGGCTGAAAGCTGTTAGAATTGATACCGCTTTCATCCGTTATATTTCTCCAAATTCGGAGTTCCATAAGAAAGGAACGGCGATCAAAAACGAACGAGCAAGCAGTGTGAGTGTTGAAAAGAAATGGGAGTGAAAAGCTCGAGAACAGATCTCATCAAAACACGAGAAAAATTCGCGATTTCGCAATTGTGATGATAGTATCAGCTTTCTTGAAGACAGCTCGTGATATCGAGGGCGCAGCGACATTCTGAAATACCAAAAGAATGTTCTACAGATTGTTCACGGAGAAGAAGGGATGCGCGAGAAAAAAAAACTTTTTTAAGCACAAAACATGGAAAAGCTCCATTTTCAAACCTTGCTTCGATTTTGAAAATCTCTTCTTTACAAGAAGAAGCAAGGTTGAGAATACATAGCATCAAAAAAATAAGGGAATCATACAACACCAAAAACAGAATCTTTAGTTCGAGTGGACGATACCTCCAAGCTGCAACATAATTTAGATTTGGATTTCCTAATTTTGGGAGGGGGTTGTATTTTCAGCTTTTTCTCAGACAATCGCTGGGGGCAGGCGGGCACCGGAAAAAGAGATTGCTGATTTCTCGCATCCCGCTCGCGGATTTTTTGCAAAGCAATCAGGACTTTTCGGAAGACCGCTTGCTGAGTCAGCGGATTTTCGAGAGACCGCCTGTTGAATTTTTTTCGTTCTTATCTTTTGCAGATATATTGCTGAATCTCTGAGGAA